ATGAAATTATATTATTTGTAAAAATTGAAGTGGTCTACTTTATAAACGGGAATCGTGTTTTAGTTGGTTTAAAACATAGAAATGTGTACCAATCAAGTAAGGTAGCATTAAATTATCACCTACTGGGTAATTACTGTACAATGTAATGTAAAATAATAATTATTGCATCATACATGTAACCCTGGTATATATATTTGCACAGTTTTAATAACTGATGGGTGTAACAATCTTGACATTCTGCAAGTGATAACATGTTTCAGACTAGTTGAAATGTTTCAGAGTAGTTGAAATGTAAAAAATAAAATAAAAGTAACAATGTGATTAAATATAAATTGTCTTTCATTTGTTATTTTTCATATTTTAATGAAAGGAATACCCTCATCAGTTGGCCTCATGTAATAAAAAAATTATATTTTCAAGAAAAATATTAAAATTTATTTACATTAGCACCATGGTAAGTGCCAAGAAAAATTATTTTCATTGTCCCCAATTCTTAGTGATCTATGTAAGTAATACTGTGTGGTGTAAAAAACTAAAACGAGGCAGAAGCGCTTGAGAAAGCACTTAGTCACAGCGAGGCTAATATACGGATATTGTAAGTTCAAGTTTTCAGGCTTACACGGTCGTGAATTGATTTGTGCCATTCACAGCTTAAGGCAAAGTTTTTCACATGCTTACATTGACAAAAAGCTGAATAAATTTGCCACAACTTACTAGTAATTAAAAGTTGTTCGGAGGCCACTATAGATACAAAGATCAGAGTTAATGATAGCTTTCGTAAATTTTCGATTTCAAACTAATTTTAACACCAAATAGACTCCACATCAACTCGTGGTGTATCTCACATTATTAGAATTTTAATTCTCATTATGTCAATGTACATAATGTTACCCTGAGTACTTTCATATCCAAGATATTACACCGTTTCTGACACCCTATAAATCTCCAAAATTTTAGCTGATTCAGAAGTGTAAGACTTCCGGTTTGTCTAAAAGCCACCTAGCGACAGACCGGTGGCTCCCGGGCTGTATAGAACCATTGACGACTGGAACACCACAATTATCATGTCCAGTCAGATATACACAGTAAGAGCCTCAAGTTTATTTTCCACAATTAAGCAAGCACTCTGTTCAAGAGACCACAAATAATCTCACCCGAATCAACTTACGTTAAGTATGAAAAATGCAGTTATAACAGGGGAATACAGAAGGTACACCTGGTATACCTGGTTCATGAAGGGATTGGTTTAAAACACTTCTTTCATGAAGTCAGTGGGGACGGTACATGTGGAATGCTGCGGATGGACGTATAAAATAACAGAACGGTGGTCATTTAGAGAAGCAAATCATTTTTTAACGATCACTTAAAATTCTGCCAACTCTGGGACATCGCATCATGCCCTTTAACTGAATTAATATGATGTTGGTTTGGTAAATGTGCTACTTACATGTATAATATCTTTTTGCATGGTGATTTGTAGGCAAATGATAGTACGTGGGAAGCGGGAATTTATAAAGGTAGGCCCATCTATTTTGCCATGTTTCTATACAGCTGATCTTGATACGTCATATTTACATTAGTGTTCACAGGACCGGAGCCAGCAAATTCAAAAGGGGGGGTTCTTTTTCTGAAGATGTGGATCTTTTACCTTGAAACTTGTGTGTACCTAGATAAAATTTTACCCAAAATGGACCTTTTCCTGACAAAAGGGGCGGTTCTTTCGAACCCCCTGACCCCCCACCCCCACCCTCCCCCTGGCTACGGGCCTGGCCCCGTATGCACAAAACATCTTAAGTGTATTTTTTTAAGAATTTCCCTAAGAATTTCCTTAAGTGATCATCCTTAACATAAGTGGTACGCACAAAGCATCTTAAGATGAGAATTTCCCCAAATATCTCCTTAACTTTAAGGTACCTCATTGGGTCTCTTAAGTGGAAATTTTGTCCTTAGATTCAGTGACTGTACAACACAGTGGCATTCATTTGTGCTAATCAAAGCTGTGCAGCACCATTATTTCTCTATCGCTCTTATTATTGCTGCTTATCGTGAAGAAGTGGATGAACTGGAATGGGCAGTCGCAAGACCAAGAATATTTCGGGACCGCAAAAATCCTTTGGATTTTTACCCAGATCATGAGATTTACCAGCGATTTCATTTTGATAGAGCGGGGATACTTTTCATTACGGATCTTCTGGCAGTTACATCTGTAATTTGTCGTTCTGTTCAGGGATATCTAAAGTGAACAATTTTGAGTGGGCACTTTTTATAACATGTTGCTTATGCGCATTTAATGCTTTTCACATTGTAACGTATGCATCTACATGGATAGATGAAAATGTACAAAAGTAATGCAAATATAAATAAATATGAATTAAGTTAAATAGTGATATTGTACGACTCCTTGTATGAAAAATACAAAACATATTTGGCAGAGCCCAAATGGCTCTACCTACTCAGCTGGTAATGGGTGCAGCACAGTCCCTTTTTTGGAAGGCTAACCATTAATAATTGGCAAGAGCAATAATATGTTCATTAACCTTACCAGTCATTAGTGTTTTAAATTTATCCATTCTGGTAAGATGCTCAAAGTTACTATGTTGTTATTTGTATTCTGAATAAAGATCATAACGGAGAGGGCATGACAATCCCCGAAAACCACCTGATAATACGGAATCTCACGCATCAATACTTTTACAATTAACATAGGAATTTAATATGTGCATACGTGGGGTCAATAGTGAAATTAATAATTAAAATTAATATTAATATTATGAATTACATGCCACAGTTTTTCATCACAGATAACACTTAAAACATATAAGTCGATGACATGTAAATGGCCATAGTCATGAAATAAATATATGCTGGGCTTATTTCTTTTCTAGGGCCCATGAAAAAATATTACTTTATCATCCCCGGCCGCATTACTTTTTCTGCTCACATAAAAAAAATTATAATGTAAAATTTCCCCATCAAATGTGCACCTCATGCACAAAAACAGACTCTCCCTGTACTAAGAGTGCCTCTCACAGCAATTTATGTTACTACTAGCTTTGCTCATGGCACGTTCCCTATTTTAGTGTATGTAATGACGGTCCGGCGGGCATCGTTGTTTAAATTCAATGTGTTTTTGTATTAGCAAAAATACGCCCTACTGAATCACTTCTTGTAGGTGACAATGACCCCATTTCCAGATATTAGATCGATCTACTTTAGATCGATCTAACTCCCTGGGGGTTCACGCTAAATAGCAGTCAGCCGAGCGGACACGAAAGTTAATTACCCCCTTACAGCTTTTAGTAGGCGGGACTGACATTTAAGCCGGATTATCTGACAGTAAACTAGTGAGACTCCCCGCGGGGATAGATCGATCTAAAAGCTCTGGGAATACAGCCAATGATGGTAAACTAATATTTTTTATGGGGCCTTTTTACAGAATTATCACTGATAGGGGAGTTTGGTGCACATGTATCAGCCAACAGCCTTTTGATTAAAATGTAATTATGTCACTGGATTATTATTATTATTATTAGTGTTGGGTCTGGGGATTGGATGACATGCCTCCTTTTCTGTCAGAGTATGAAGAATACTAGGCCTTCACAAGAAGTTACAACTTCTTGGCCTACACGATTGATATTTCAACTCTTCTAATAATAACTGATAGGCCTATCATATCCAAGTAAAGGATTTCTTCAAACATGGATTCCCCAGGAATTCCCCAGTGTGAGCTATCGTAACAGGTAATTCTATTGGTCAATGCACAGGCTAAACATAGCTCAACACATAAGAGAAATCCTACAGAGTTGAGGAAATTCCTATTATTTGAGAAAATTCTTGGCTTAGGAAATTCATAAGGCACTTTGTGCACACCACTTAAGGGGCTTCCTCAGCTAAGAATTTTCTTATAAAGTTAAAGGGATAATAACTCTTCGTATGAGATCTATATTTCACAATAAAAACCTTGTGAATAACTCACAGAAATATAATATATTCTGTTTTACCACAAAAACAGCAGTTATAGCTATTATTCTGATATCTGAGCTTGTCTTTAGACCACGTGACCTCCATTGATGGCTATACTCTGTTAAAATCTCTTAAGAGATTTTAACAAAAAACCAAACTTTGTAGAAAAAAACCAGGGACTAACTTTGAATGTAAAAATGGATTCATTAACCATTGGTAAGTATGGGAAAATTGTTGTTTACTCCAGGAAAATTCATTTTTTGGCCGAAACGAAGAGTTATTATTGCTTTAAGGAGAATTTTTCACTTAAGATAAGTTTTTTGTGCATACGGGGCCTGGTTCATAGCCTATATAAATAGTAATTATTTGGGCAAATCTGTGGGTAAAATAAACGCGCTTATATCTTAGACGTGAAATACTCGTGGAAAATAATTTCTTTTTATTTACTAGTAATTATTCAATAGCGCATGAACACATCATTGAAAACGCCAGCCTGGCCATGGGTTGAAAAAAAAAACTATGAAGGCAACTCTAGAATAAAGTTGATGGTACATGTAACTATAGAAAAATCAGAGGCTGTCAAAAGCTAGAAAATAAGTTGCAACACTCTCTGAAACATAAATGTGCTATAAATCCACAATGTTTTGTAGTCAATAACTTGTTTCGATTCGTTTCAATGAAGTATTCGATCCTTGTGTGCACGCAGGAGTACGTGAGGGGAAGAGATCATATGAAGAAGTGACCTTCTTGGTGTTTACTTTATGGGATGTCTCATTTACGATATGTTAAAGTCATTTTTGTTTATTTTGACGTAAATTTATAATTGATCCTGGTTTGAAGGAAAATACATGTATGACTATTCTTTACACTGTACGTGATTATAGAATTAAAAATCAATTCAGCAAGGCATTATCTTGACATCGAAGTAGGCCGATAGCACTCGGTTTAACATCAAATAAAGGTCGTCGTTTGAAACCCAATATAACACATTCAACTCGAATAATTTCCTGATAGCAGAATTAACCAACTTTGCTTACCTTGTTGACTTAAAGCAGGACAATTAAGCTATGGTGTTGGGATCACAGGCTTACTCTCTCATCTACAGAAATATTTGACCTTCTGTTACATAAAATTAGTACCTTCCTTATGATACGAAAATGATGACGAAAATTAAATAAAACGAGCCTTAGCCTCAGCGAATGAGTAAATATTTATATAATGTTTATCATGTGCAGTGATAGGAGTCAGCTACTATATATATAAGGATGCACAACAGAGATCGAGACATGTGGGGATGAGTTATTCTTCTCCTCACCTTCATTTTAACAAATTAATCTGTAAGGCTAAATGATACATTTTAAAAAGAGATAGTGGGAGTAATTTGTTCCATTTTATGCATGTATTTTTACGCATCAACGATAAATAAAATGCGTTGTGCATTATTGAAATGTTAAGGAAGAGTGAGATTACACAATTTTGTCTGATTCATTCATCAACGATAAAAACAGGCCTTAGCTATTGCCACATTTAGGTTTCTCGAAAACTTATCAATCGGGGACATCAGAAGTAGGTCTACATTGCAGCATATTAAGGTGTTTCAAGCAAAATAATCAAAACGAAAGGCTAAAATCGACCACAAAAACATCTCAGAAAATACAAAAATAAAATATTCCCTTCCAAAAGCAAACTTTCCACCACAATCTAAACTTAAGCTAAATATTCGACTGAAACAGAATAAAATATCATGACGTTAGTCACTTTAGTAAAATTGAGGGAAGAGATCTGTTGCCGACACGGCAGAAATTATATGCGTAGTTCTCAAAATTTATTTTTATTTCCACGATGTTCTTATGTTTATTTATATTGTGTTAGAGAAGAAACTACTAACACTGCTCAATTAAGTAACATCTGTTCATTTAGTCATGTGGTCAACTGTATAAAAGCCGATGTTGCAAGTACTCTGCGCGGTCATTTATTACCTATGGCAGAGTGGAAGTTTGTTATAATATTACGTGTAGCTTGTGTAAAATGTATGTATTTAACCAAGTGTAATTCACTTATATGGAGGTTTTTTGTGTAGTTTACATAAGTTTACATAAGTTTTTCATAATTATAATCAGTAACATAATTAGTTATGAGCATCGTGTTTATTAAAGTCTATGTTGGTATGGGTGTAGCATTTTCATGAACAACACGTACATGTATATTTATGTTATCAAATGAAATTACAGTACCAGCTCAGATTGTCATGGCCGTCTCTGAGCAGCCAGTTAGCAGCGGAAAAAACGAGTCTGGATATTGTTTTAGTGTAAGTGTTTAAAATTTAAAAAAAAAAGAATAATTAGTGCAGTTAACTTACACGTATGTAAAGATCGATTTTTTTTTTGTTAAGATCACATGAATTAAGTTATTTAGTATATTGAGTTTATTATCTCGATATTTCACTTTATTGTTTTTTTTTTTCGTGTCTTTTTATAGTTTTTACCAGTTTCTGTTCAGTTCTGTGCACACTGCGTGAATGAACAGCAGTCTTAGCCAACGGTGTTTCTTCATTTACTCGTGGTCTGCTACAAGATCAAAATATTCGAATATTGAGCAGATTGGCTAACGGTGCAATGCTAATCGTCGCAGGGAATGAAATTTCAGGTCCAGTCACAATTGACTGTTACCATGACCGGTTAATGAAACTACGAAATACATAAACATCTATAGAATACCTTATTTGTGTATTAAGCCATCTGTCACGGGCGACAGTCGAGCGTGTTAGACGTGTGACTTTATAAATCGGAATGTGCATTGCAGAGGAGAACCAATTCCTAAATAATTTTGACCAATTCCGCCACGCTCTTTAGGATGAATGGGACAATATCCCACATAACAGAATTGTTACCCATGTTGAAGGCTTGTCGCGCCGTCTACAGGAGATAATTGCAGTACGCGGTAGACGCACACGCTGTTAGGTGATCTTTAACGTGATCTTTAACGAGCACACCCTAATGCTAATTGTGTGTGAATTTGGTGACATTTGATGGCGTCTTTTCAATTTTATAGACATTTCTTTACATCTGTAGAAGTCACNTGTTAGATCAATCCGCATTTGGAGAACATTCCAAGCCCATGGTATTAGTACATTGTTCCTTTTGGAACAAAACGTAACAGGGGCATTTTGATGTAACATTCTCAACAGAAATCTCACTCCATTTGCAAGAGATGACTTCAGGGATACTACTGGCTTCATTGTGACGACGCACTTGCTCACAGCTCTCGTCTGGCAAACGATTTGTTGCAGAAACACAGGGCTCTGAGGATGGGACAACCGTCTTTGAGTCCTGATATTAATCCTACTGAGCACCTGTGGCATAAATTGGAATGTGCATTGCAGAGGAGAACCAATTCCTAAATAATCTTGACCAATTCCGCCACGCTCTTTAGGATGAATGGGACAATATCCCACATAACAGAATTGTTACCCATGTTGAAGGCTTGTCGCGCCGCCTACAGGAGATAATTGCAGTACGCGGTAGACGCACACGCTGTTAGGCACGTGATCTTTAACGAGCACACCCTAATGCTAATTGTGTCTGAATTTGGTGACATTTGATGGCGCCTTTTCAATTTTATAGACATTTCGTTACATCTGTAGAAGTCACAGTGAAACAGTCGATTTGAGAGGGTACCTCTTATAAATTTTACTAAATGGTATAAAATGTGTATATTTTCACCACTATTTTGTATTTTTTTAACCATTAATCATGTTAGACACGGTATCCGTAATAAAAAGCACTATTTCTAACAGTTCACAGCTGTGAGGTGATCTTTTGTAAATAAAAGTACATGGAAATAGGGGTGGGACAACCTTTTTGACCAATGCTGTATATGCAAGACTTCTTATTCAACCCTTGACAATGATTTAAGGACATAGAAGGGGCCTAACCTTCGTAAGTCAAACATGGGTATCTCCTGCAAATATAATTTTTCAAAATGACACGTTAAAACAAGTAATTTCAAGGTTTAGTAATTCATGTTTTTATTATCAAACATCAAACGTCACATAAACTAAAATTACACATCCCAAGGAAAATCTCATTCTACTAATACAATTCAAAATTCCCTAAACAGCATTTCATTAAAATGACTGATAAAGTAATACTGTCTGTCTGTTTTAAGTCTTTTTAAAAATAATTTTCTCAAAAGATAATGCAAACAAGGAAGACTGGGCTCGTAGGTTTTGATCTTCTCCACTATGAGAACAGGCAAAATTGATGACTTGATCAACAAGCGGCGACCATCTGTAGGTCGACAGACGAAATTTATTTTAAGTTTTTTTAAACATATAAAGATTGAAGAGAACAGAGAACACAAGCTTAATTTTAGAGTTTTGGAGGGGGGTGGGGTGGAAATGTCAAATCTGAAGCACGGGCGATTTCAAAGCATCAAATCAACATCGTGAAGATTTTCCCTGATATGATGTCATTTGTTATTGTCTTTTACTTATCAAACCAGTACCCAAACTTAGAAACATTTTTTTCCAATTTGAAAAAAAAAAAAAAAAAAATAGGTGCGAAAAATTACATAAAAATGTAATAAAGAATGTACCGGTACCTTTAACTGTATACTGGTGGCACATTTTTTCGGTTTAATTCACCATTTGTGATGAAAAGTAATTTGCCTTAAACGAAAAATAAGTCTAGTTCCTGCTAGAAATCGTGCAATTAATTTATGTACTTTTACAGTAGAATATCTTTATTATGCTAGCATTTTTTAATCCTTACATGTTAATTGTTCAAGTAAACCTTTCACAAGAAACACAGGACACATGCAAAAATAACTTGGCTCTCCACAATATTCATCCACCATAGAACATGTACTGTGAAACTGAAGGATTTCCATATGTATAAATATAATGATAAAACGAAACTGGGTGGGGAATTTTTTTTTCCACGTTTTTTTGTGAGCATGCACGTGTGTGTATTTATGTGTGTGTGTTACAAATCAAATATAATCAAACGATCAAGAAAAATAAATGAAAATGTTTGAGTTTCTCATTTTCCCAAAAGATTTAAATCATAACATGTAAAAAAACTCCAAATATAACTACAAACAGAAATAAAATTGTAAATGATACTAACATTCAATACATGAAATGTAAATTCATCTAATATGGCATATTTTCACTAATCTTGTAATTCTTATTGTTTACTAACAATCTACCATCCGTTATGTCACAAACAAAATAAACTTAAATAGTATCGTTGGATCAGTTAGCAGCTATACTAAAGAATGTGCTTGATGTGATGTTTAGCTCCTTGCTTTTTAAAATCCTGCTGATGGTTCAGTTGTGAGCAAGTCTAGATAAAATCTAGGGAAAGCATCAACAAGATAACTAAAAGCAAAGGATCTAAACATCATTAACAGTTTTGTTATAAAAATCCTACTTGTGATAACATTCTAGATGAAAACATCTATCTTCTCTAGTCTACATCTCACCCTCTGAATCATTTAGCACCAGTATAAGCACTTACAAAATGGCAAAGTGTTGATATTTAAGACTGAATAAGTTTGCTTTTCACAAGACAAAAGTTGTCTTTTTAACTGTTTAACCACAAAATTTTATTTCACAATTTCCCCCTGTGTGCAAAATGAGTGCTACCTTTGCCATTTGGACTACATGCTGCACCAAAGAATGTCCAGTGTCATTATTACACAGTGTCACCACAGGAACTGACTGACAGCCACAATTTACCATTTAGATGACAGTCCCCTGTACTACCACAATGAGTCACCATGTGATCTGACAACTTTAAACAATCTATGGCCCTCCAGACCCAGCATGTTATGAAAATAAAATCAAAATATGCATTTTACTAAGTTATCAAGGTCAGGACCTTCTTGTGTTGGAGTTAGTCTCATCTTGGTGTCTGTTAACTGGAGAGCTGTTACCACGTGTCACCAAGGTGTAATTAAGGCTGTATTCCCAGAGCTTTTAGATCGATCTATCCCCGCGGGGAGTCTCACTAGATTACTGTCAGATAATCCGGCTTAAATGTCCGTCCCGCCTACTACGAGCTGTAAGGGGGTAATTAACTTTCGTGTCTGCCCGGCTGACAGCTATTTAGCGTGAACCCCCAGGGAGTTAGGTCGATCTAAAGTAGATCGATCTAATCTCTGGAAATGGGGTCTTAGGTTGAACATTAGCTCCAACCCCACCAGGGGAAATTATGAAAACTTGATCAAGTACTATGCCACAGAATCCAGAAAACATTGCAAAGAAATTGTGGGAGATATCTCTGCCATTCAACATTGCAGTCAACTGGGAGAAATTTGTGATTTGTTCCTCAAGTTGCCATAGCCTCTTGCTCCTCTTCCTGTTCTCTGGTGGTTTCTATCACCCCTGATCCTCTCTGCGGGTCGGGCATCTTGAAGATCTTCAGGGTGGGACTCGGCTGTAGGTTGCTGAAATTATTAATAACAATAAGTAATTAACAAAGAGGTCTGAACGACAGGGCCAAGGTGCATAAAATGAATTGTAAGGAACAGTGGTTCACAAGAATTACAACCCAGATTTCCATCAAACAGTGGGTATAAAATAACTTAGCCCATCACTACAATATGATATAGAAACATTTGTAAGATAATCATCACATGTAATACTTATTATAAATAATCTCATACTGTTCTTGTATTCTATGAAATAAATGAAGAGGTCTGATTATAGTGAGAATGCATCATTAAGAGCTCAATAAACTATTGCTAAAACATAAACCATCACCTCATGTTCTGTGGTGTCAGAAATATGAACTGACGAGTCTTCTGGTTCTTGGCTACCTCCATCAACATGTCCATAGATATTCTTCTGTTCACCATGTCCTGAAGTAAACAAATCTCAGTGATCAGTTAAGGCAAACTACAGTTACTGTAATGACCATATCTTTTCAATGGGCAAGAAATTATCAATCTTTTAGCTGCATTATTATAGGATCATTAATATTACATTTTTATATGGCATTTGTTGTGTAGGCAACTTTAAAATTTTCTTGCTTCCACTCAATATTACTTTTTAAAAAATACAGCATCTGTAAAATTCATAAGTTTTCCAACAGAAATAATGAGTCATTTGTTGTAACCGCCAACATCAACATTCATGGCCACAGATATCCTTTTGTTACTCACGTATGGAGTGCTATACACTTTGCCCTATTGGTTCTCACCAAGGTGACTCATACTGTGTCCATTACTTACCATGTAGACATCAAACTCATCCATACACCTGAAAGGAGATTCCATGGCATCCCATAATGCTAAGATGAAGCAGACGGTAGAGAATGACCTTTCACCCCCAGACAGTGCCCTCATGTCTTTGGCACCCTCTGCTGACTGGTTGGATGGCTGAACCTGCAAGATGAACCTACTTCAATCTCTTTTCTAATAACTGATAATATCACATCTGGTATGTTTCTTAAAATATATACTTACAACTTTTTAACACCAAAAGGATGCCAGTTATATAATATGTTGATTTTTTTCTGTTAAGAATAAAGTACCTTAAAATTACACCTTGATACAAGATATTTTATAGCAGTTTCTAACACATATATTTTAGTTAAAAATCTGTCAAACTAACAAGATTAATATTATTCCATAACATCAAAGAGTAATTGAAGCTCTAAAGGCCACTTGCACCAGATCCTACATTAGAAAAGATAAAGTAAAGGCACACAAGTCACAACACATGAATGTCATACTAGGATGCTTTGGGTGTTTGACTGTTCTTACACACAAGGACAGGAAGCTACATATATAAGATGAATACATTCATTTTTATATATCAAATTGTATAAATCAAACAAAAAGATGACACTATAGTATGCACAAATACATAGCATGATATGAACAATATTGTCACTGAATCTTTCTGAAGAACCTTCAAACTAAACAAAGCAACCAAAATTTTAAAAATTAACAATGCTAATAATAGCAGTAAAGCATTTTCATGTATATTAGAAAGAGTTAGTATTATGCTTAAAAAAAAAAAAAACAGTCAAACACCCTAGAAAAAAACTACAGCCATTGCTTCTATTGTCACCCATGCAAGTGTGATAAGGCAATAAATTTACTAACAGAGGGTTATAAAGCAAAATTTGTGATACAAGGACAAAAAAAAATCTATAAAGGCTCTAGGCTATCTTTAGAATTACCTTGTACCTTCAGCAAAGCCCAAGTGATTATTTAGTTAAAGAGGCCATTCAGAAAGAGAAGATCTGAGTGCTAGCTAGGCCATGACCTAAATATTACAGACCTACGTGAAAGGAAGACGGCTCAATCCTGTAATGGTCTCTCTGCCTCTCACATGGCTCCCACGCCTCGTCCCTCGACCGGTTGAATCCAGTCAAGATTTAATTACAGTGTCCCTTCAGGGACGACACGTGGGGAGGCGTGTGAGAGGCAGAGAGACCATTACAGGATTAAGCGCTCTTCCTTTCATGTAGGTCATGGCCTAGCTAGTAATCGGCTCTTCTCATTTTGAATGGCCTCAATGACATGCAAATCCCAGGGAATGGTTTAGTAGACTTAAGAGGGCAAACTACTTCAAGCAAGCAGGCAAGCAATCTAGCAAATATAGAGACAATGGCTGTAGTATCAGTATTCTAGTCTCTCAGAGACAACTTTTTCATCACTTACAGACAGCTCGAGAATTTCCTGTTTGTGATTAAATGTCATCTTTCCAACATAACTTCGATTGCTCAACATCACGATGAAATAGTATTTGGCTCTCAAAGCAATCATTTTGCGAAACTCTATAAACTGATGTTGACGGGTCCCCATGACATCCTGTAGTAGCTAATAACAATAATAATAATAATAATAATAAAATTATCACAAACACAATGCAGAACAGGGCAAATAGCCAAAGAAAACCACCGACTGCTGCTGACCCCCTCTTTTAAAAGCATTGCGTCAAAACTGTTTATCAAATCATTTTTATCTAACAAATTAATCTTTTTTTTTTTTTAATTTTGGCAAAAAGTAATTTTTAGGCTGAAATAAACTGATAGTATCCATTGGCTACATATCTGCAAGAGAAATGAGCCGTAGCACCCTTTTCTTTGTAAACCAGTTTTAATCCCAACCTAGACCAATTTATGAAAAGGAAGTAGGTGGCAGTCAGTGGCTGTTCATAGGAACTACGCAAAGTCTCTAAGACTGGGTTCCCGTACCTAGATCGATCTAACAGGACCTACCTATCTCCAAGGAGATTCTAACTAAATTGCTTTCAGCTTAAGAGGCCCAGATGTCTGGCACGCCTACTGAAGCAGCTAAACAATAATTAATTACCCCCTAACAGTAGGCGTGACAGACATCTAAGCCACTGAAGTTGAGAATCCCCTCAGAGATGGATCGATCCATAGTTAATACGATAGGGTCTGGGAATGGTCTCTAATATGGCATGCCTCAACCAAGCCTCATACCCAAATTGAGACTTCTTGTACTCCATAACTTACTTCCATATTCAGTGTTTGGGTGTTGTGTCTAAACACAAGCCTCCCCACGAAAAATCTACTTCTCAAAGTGTTTATGAAGTTCATTTTAGTTCTATATGCCAAACTGCTTCTTAATTTTTTATAAATCTCTTGCCGAATTTCCATGGTTATTTCAAGTTTCTAAAAAATAAAAAAAAATACACTGTTACCAACTTTAACCTATTGGCTGCATTTAGCACTTGTTCCTCATCCTAGCTCAGTATAAAAAACATGAATTTTTTTTTTTAATTAAAGAAATTATAACATTCAGCCAAAAATTAATTTTAAAAAAAGGACAACACCAGCCATATTGATCTTTTCTGAAAATATATCTCAGTATTTCGTATTTGTCATTAAATCAATCAATTAAAAAAAAAACTCATTAAACAACTGGACACTCAGTCCAAAAACGGCAATTTTGCAGACATAAAAAACATTAAACAAAATTTAACAAATCTACTCTACTTTGTTTTCTAAATTTTAAATTTAAATTTTCTAGTAACCAATCAAGGAGATCCAAAATTACGATAGTTAACAAATCTTACTTGCCAAACTAACAGGCCTATCCCTCTTTACAAATAGTAACATATGCTGGCAAGTTCTGAATTTACAAAGGATCTTTTTCCGGATAATATCCTACCATTAAGGGGAAATGTTGAGTGTGAGCTATTGTAATTAATGTATTA